TCGCCGACAATGGACATGACGTTGCTGCATCGCCGCTGCTCGACGCATTGTCTACTACTTCGGCATCTCCAAATACTGCTCCCAGCCTGACCAACGAGTGGACCAAGACCATCATGGCTGGTTCTCCTGGCAACCTTATCAATCTCACAAGCGAGTCGCCGCCGACACAACCTTCGTCTTACGAAGATGCCACCAGGCTGCAGAAAGGCTGGGCTGCAGCTCCGCGTCCCTTGATGAGCCCATCTCCGGCTTCTCTTTCCCCGCCAAGTGGCAACCGGCGACCTCTTAGTTTCCAGTCGGACACGCAATATCCCATTGCAGGCACACCGCCAAGATCTACCGGTGCTGCATATCGACGAAGCTCCCTTTATTCACAGTTTAACCCTCCCCAGGCAGCGAACCACCCCCATCAACCATCTCTTCCTCATCAACCGCAGTCACATTTCTACGGTGCCCAAGATCTCAATTTGACCATCACGGCGCAGTCCGGCATGAAGGCTGGTGATCAAGGGTACTTTTTCGGCTTTGACAGGCTCCCTGCCGAGAATGGACCGCCGTCTGCAAAGTCCGAAAAGGTAGTCTTGGCGGGCTATCAGGGTGGACTGCAGGTCTATGCTGTGAGCAAGAAGGGAATCGAATTGGTTACCAGTCTGAAAGGCCTGCGTGGCGGCGTGCATCATGCAAAGATCCTTCCCTGGACCCTGAACAACCAAGCCTCAGCCAACTTTCCTCTTGTAGCCGTGGTCGTGCATGGGCCCGTCTTACCGTCGCCATCAACCGATTTTGGCGGTGGTCGACACGACGCTGCATCTGGTGCGACGCCAGACGGCAGCGCGAGTCCCCGGCCCAGCTATGCTCATTCAGAGGCCTTTCCAGCTCGAGCCGTACCGCCAATTCGGTTCTACCAAACCTCCGTGGAAATATACTCGCTCAAAACCAACAAGCTGATCGACGTTCTGCTGCAGGCGCCCAAATTGCCCATCAACACAGAGGTTTCTCTGTCAAGCCCCTTATTCCAACCTCCCAGTCCTAGTGGAGCTTTCAGTGTGAAGGCGGACGCTGGGACCATCGCCATCAGCTCCGGTGTAACAGGAGAATGCTGGATATACAGACAGCTTCTTGATTCACAGAATGCGCACATGTTCGCCTGCGCTGGAAAACTGTGGACAACCATGCAACAAAGCTATCGAGCTGAGGTGGTGGAAGAGGCTGATAAGAACAGCAGCATGCCTCCATCCTCTTCTCCTGCTGCCCCTTACCGGTCAACTCCTCAGGTGCCCATTCTCTCGTTGAATGGACGGTGGATCGCATATTGCCCATCCAACCCGTCATCACAGGCCTCTCTGAGAGCACATATTCCGGTCCCTACGCTGGGACGAGCACCAGGTGTCTCCTCCATGGCACCACCTCATCCTCCTACGCCATCGTCTGGCGTGGAACTGCCCATATCAGATAGCATGATGAACAAATTCATGCGGGAAACCACACAGGAACTGATCTCGGGTATGAAGTGGGTTGGGCAACAAGGCTTACAGGCTTGGAACTCGTACTGGAGCCAACCACCCAGTTCTCAGACGCAACAGCAACAGGCTAGATCACCCCCGAGTCAGTGGAATACTGCTGCATCTTCGAGGGCCCCCGCTGTAGATCCGTCATCACAATTCCCACCTACGCATGGGACATCCGGATTCGCCTCCTCGGGCACACGCACAGTCAAGGACCCCGGGCTCGTGTCCATTCTTGACGTTGAGATGCTGCCCGTGTCAAACACGATTCATCCTTTTGCGACCTTCGCGACACCTCTTGGATGCAGCTTCGTCTCCTTCTCGCCATCATCCCTGGCTCTCTTCACGGCAAGCACGAAGGGCGATGTGCAGACTGTCTGGGACCTCCTCCGCCTTCAGCATACCAGCTCGTCTCCCTTGCAATCGTCATTAGCGCAACATGAAGCTATCGGGTCCCAAGTCCGACAAATCGCCCAATTCTCCAGAATGACCGTTGCTAGAATTGTGGAGGTTGCTTGGTCCGAACCTCATGGGGACCGCCTAGCGATGGTCACTGAGAGGGGTACCGTACACTTGCTCGATATGCCCTTTAGTTCTTTCATGTGGCCGCCTCCCCGCCGTCGCAAGGTTGCACAAAATTCCAGCGCAGAAGCTGCAGAACAACAGCCCAGCTCGGCGGTATCCATCGCATCAGGTGCCCTTGGAGCAGCGTATCAGGCCGCCATGCCCTTCGTTTCGCGTTCACGACGCAGTAGTAGCAACACTGTCTCACCGTCTGCCGGAACGACGCTCCGGGATTCTGCCGCGCAAGGCGGTCGAGTGATTGCAGCCAGCATCAGCCATTCTTTGGGGAAAACAGGGACGGCTATCAGCCAGCTCCGGCATACGGGGGAGAATCGTGTTTCGCTACCGTCGAGTATCATGGTGCCTTCAGCCGCATGTGTCTCATGGCTCAGGGGACGGAGATCTCAGTCACTCTTCTCGATCGGACGTGGCATGGTGCGTGCATTCCCGTGCAGGACACGAGTATCGGCATCAGTCCCCGGCAAGAAGGTTTCGAGGGCAAACATGTACAAGGATTTCAAGATTCCTCTCCTCCCGGATGACATCGTTGCGCCACTCATCCGTCAGATCATGGAGCTTGGAGCCGCGGACGAGTATTTGGAGTTGTCGGAAGCCGATATGGAGGATGGAAATACATTGACCCTCAAACCGCCACGTACAACAACCGGCCCCCGGCACGGGCTGGATGCCACAATTCCCCAAGCTGAGATAGAATCCAGCGCGCCGTATCAGCCCTTCCACACGGACCGCCGAGTTGCTTTGTGCGAATATGGTCGAGTAGACTCTGCTTCTGTGCTTCTTGCCAACACGAGCCTCGAGGACAACGAGCCTTTGACGTCCAAGATGATGAAGAAGAAGAAGAATAGGCAAGGTGCAGAGTCTTGTTTGGTCGGGGATGTGGCATCTACATCTGCATGGGCATTTGGTCAAGAGATTCCCTCTGTGCAACTTGACCTCGGTGTTCCTTCAGCCAGCGACGAGGAATTTGCCGGACCAGATGATCACATGGCCTTGCCGCAGTCTGCAATGGAGCGGGTCATGCAGTACGGGGACGCAGAGCAGATCGTGGTGACAACGAGGCGGAGACGGGGCGGTCGCCAGGGTGATGGCGATGAAGACGGCTTCTTTGAGGATGACTGCGAAGTACTCGATTTTGCCGATCAGCGAGTCTAGCTGCGAAGGCAATTCTGACGCTGCTCGGCGGGATGTGAGATGCAAACTCTGCGTGTGTTTGCACATTGAGATGCATGGCGAGAGGCAAAGCAATGATGATGGCCTCGCTCCGGAAAATGTGGACAAACGAACAAGCACACGCACACATACAGACCTTGGTGGCTCGGCTCGAATTGCAGTATGCCTGGCTGTTCTGCTTCTGCCGGAGCCTTTTTCTTGTCGATTCGCGCTACTTGTTTGGCTGGATTGGTCCGAGTTCTGAAGGGTAGCTGGTTCTTGAGTATTGTGTTTCAAGGCATTGTCGGAATGTTCACCACTCCTACCACATTATATATAGATATATATATACAAACATGGCTCTTTCACGAGAGCCAAACAAGTACATAAATATACCCTTTTGTTCAATGCCTCATTTCCAGTAGAACGCGATACGCCTTTGCAGAACCCGCGTGTTGTAGTGGTGTCATTATTTGATTTGACTTGTATTAATCAACAGGCGATGGGCCATGTTGCATCATCATTACCTAGGTAGATGAGAGTTTTCCGCCATGCCCAGAGTTTTTTTTCATAGTCCCATCATTTGCCACGTGACAGAGAATCCTGTTATGCCTCGGAAAACGAAGGCCTCTTATATTGCCCACTCCGTAGTGTACAATGTGCGTCGTCGACGGCACGCACCCACCCACGCGTCTTAGTTCTTCTTCTTGGCCGCCGCCTTGGCCTTGGCCGCCTTCTTCCGATTACTCCTGATCATGACCATGCCCAGGAAAGAGCCTACGACAGCGGAGCCGAGAAGGACGAGGATGACGGGGATGCGAATGGCCCATTGGCGGGGGAGGAAGAAGTTTTGGAGGGGGTGGTCGTGGTCGACGAAGGGCTGGGTTAGGGTACGTGGTCAGTGCGAATCTTTGTGTGTGGCTCCGTGTTCGTAAGTCGCTTGCTGGCGTGTTCTTCCGGTTTCGCCGTGTTGGGATTGGGGGGGGGGTAGACGAACCATGAGGAGAGTCCAGATGCTGTAGTAGAGGAATACGAAGGAGGCGGCCACGAGCATGGCGAGACCGATTAGTTTGTCGATCTAGGGGGATGTTAGCTTGGTTGAGAGCGGGGGGTGTTTATGGGGGGGGATGGGGGGTTGTTTCTGGTACCATTGTTGAGACGCAGGTGGGCGAAACGGCCGGACTGGAAATGGGTGATTGTGATGGAGGAGGAAGCTTTGGGGTTGATTGAGGGTTGGTGATGCACGGACAATAGTATTACACGGTGGTCGGAAAAGTTATTAGGGAGCGAGATATGTAAGAGAGTTGGGGCGCGTGTGGCTTGGAGGTTTAGGAGGGGTGTGGCTGGGGTTTTTTTTTTTTTTTTTTTTTTTTTACAATACGCCTTGTTGATGCGTCATGCCATGAGCTTGTAGACGTGATCCGAGTGTGCCGCATAAAAAAGCTCACCGCGTGACTTCTGGGGACGTATTAATTCATCGAAAAGTCGAACTCGTATGACCGAAGGATTTCCAGGCGGAGAGTTTGTCCGGAAGGGAAAACGAGTGGCAGCCAGGTTATCTATCTGCGCGGGAAAAGTGGAAGAGCTCCGAGAAAGCGGGCGAGTTCCATGGCACTCACTCAGTTCATTCATGTAAAAAGTAACAGTTCTCTTGCTGATCAATACAACGGAAATAATAAAATACATCCAGGCACAAGGTAGTGTGATGCGCATTGAAAACAAAAAACACGGAAAATGCTAAAAAAAAAACAGAGGCTAGTGTAGCAATTACACGTTTCGATCGTGTGACCTCCGGGTTATGAGCCCGGCGCGCTTCCACTGCGCCAAATTGCTTTATTTGCTGATGGAGGGTGCTTCTCTTATTGCTATATATAAATGTATTCACGGGCAACCCATGCCGAAAACCTGCCCGATTAGGCCGTATGCCAAGAGGACCGACGGCGGCTGTATTGAATTTTTCTAGATGCATCTTACTACTGGTTCTTTCATTCTTAAGTCAACTGTCTGCATCACTCGCAAGGCTACACAGTGGGAGCGCCCATGTTCTCAAAAAGACTCTGATTTAAACGCTATCGCTACTTTGGAGAATATGTTGGATCACGTAACGTCTGCAACAACACCATCATTCCTTGCGGACGCTGCTCGCTTTCGTGCTCAATGAGGGAGGGGGTGGGGGGGGCGGGTATCCGATGCATCTGCTTCTGTCCTTGATCAAACTCTGAGCGAATAGAAATAGAAAAAAGCCTCTTCAAACATATCAGGCAATGGAATAGTGCTCGCACGGCAACACACAAGAAAAATGCAAAAAGATGATGTTTTGGGAATCCGAGCCAGACTCGAAGATTCTCGGTGGCCGTGCAGAAAGGGCATGGCCGATAGGGTGGGAATAGAACGCCCTATCTCTTGGGTAGGGTTTTTCTTCCAAACTGTCCTGCGCCTCCTCCTGTATGCCATCCTTGATTCACGCTATTTTTTACAATGAGCGCTGCAGCTGCCGTGGCTGCCTGGCGTTCGCGCTGGCGGTGTCGCTCTTTCAAGTAGTGCGCTGCCTCCGGTCTCATCCTCAGAATGCGCAGAATCATATCGTCGCTGGGGTCAGCCTGAGCTTCACGCCTTTTAGCCTCCTTAGCTTTCCGCATGGTCCCCAGGTTGCGGCTCATCATGATGGTCTTGCCACGTCGGACGGTACCCATGCTTGCAAACGCACCTGCGCCTCCAAAGGTGGCGCCGAACGTAGCTGGAGCGGATAGCCGGTGCTGCTGGGTTTGTTGTTCGAGTAGTGCTTGCTGAGCCCGCTGCGCTGTCGCTGCCGCCATCCTCTCTGATTCTCTAATCAAGTTATGACTGTCCTCAAAGTAAAAAAAGGCGAGAGACGCAAGCTCGTGCCACTTAGGCGACTTCAACACCTCGGCGCGTACGCCCAGCTGCTCGCCAGAATGCTCGTCTTTGGCGTTGAAGAAGGCGAACAGCATGTCCAGCCAATGATAGACGACATCCAGCTCCTTTCTCGTCAATGGCTTCTGGGTTGACGGCTTGTCGGAGAGGGGAGGCACTAAGAGGTTCTCCATGGTCATGAGAACCTCCTTCCACAGACGAGTCATGACCGCAATCATTGTTGCGTCTGTCAGCGTCTGCTTCATGATGGCAAAGTTCTCGTCAAAGTAGGCAAGAAGACGCGTTAATGCGCCTTCTATTTGATTTGGCGTGCCCGTTGGCATCGTCGAGGCTCGCTTCTTCCAGAGACTCGTCATTGATGCGCCGATGCCCCCGGTTCCCAGGAGACTGCGCAGTGTCTCCCGAGACAAGGTCGCGCTGATTTGCGTCGTGAGCTGTGCGGGAAAAGTGTCAGTAGATGAAACACAGAGAAGAAGGTTCTATTGCGAAAAGTGGATGGGACGAACCTTGTCTGTAATCTTGCGCACCATATCCCTTTCGGTTCTCTTGAGATGACGGAAAGCCTTGCCAAAATGGAACTGGATGTCATCGCGTTCTCCTTCCATACTGACTCGGATGAGGAGGCGTCCTTGCGAATCCAATTCCAACCAAAACTCTCGTGGCAGATAGTCACTGAAATGCAACGGATCCAACTTCAACGAGGTTCGCCCAACGTAGTCGTGATCACCAAACGTATCGTAGTCCCACACAGTGGCAATGACATTAACTGACCCCTGAACTGTGACATCAAACGATTCGTCCCATCGAGGATTGAGATTCCGGTAGATGATGCGAGTCTTGTGCAGTCGCTTCTGATACTCGTCGCCAAACACGACATAAGGGTCGCTGTACCCACTAGAGTCGCATGCCTTTAGATCTTCAGCCTCGACAACTTTGATGGTGAAGGTGTACTTGCTTGGCTTCTGAATATTCTTCTTGGGACCATCGATCTGCTCAAGAAGTGCGGCACAAGCTTCCGAATTCATACTTGTCTCCAGCTTATCCAACTCTTGCATAGCGTACTCGACATTGTTGAGTTTTACAAACGACTGCGGGCTTCTGTTAGTAAGGAGTCGTTTCGAACCGACATCTGCCGGGGGTTTTTTTTTACTGCTCACCTCGGGATAAAAGTGGAAAGGCTCGGCCCTTTCCTTGTTGCTCCATGCGTCCTTTGCAAGCTGCATCCACTTTTCCTGAGTTGATCTGTTCTGAGCGGCCAGCTCTTCTGCCGAGGGGCGATCCATTTCCTTCGCAAAACGTTGTTCAACAATGTCACAGTAATGGCCAATTCCAGTCGCAATGCTTCGTGAAAGTGCCGTCATGAACCGTGCATGGTGTTCATCATTGTCCCACTGCAAAGAAAAGACGGTATCCACGGTCTGATTGAAAAGCATGAAGAGATCGATGATGGACACACTATGTCGTTCAGAGTCAAGCGGAATTTGCTCTGGATCTTGGGTCCGGACCTGGAACTGATCATGTTTGATCGCCTGCTCCACAAAGTCGGCCATTCTGACTTCGGCGGCGTGAATCCAGCGCCACACAAAGCCTACGAGGAGATTCTCGATGTTGAACTCGAACGGCACTTGAGGAAGAGATTCCAGATGGATCTGCCGGATCTCAACCAGCTCCTTGTACAATTCGAATCCGTCCTGGATAGCGAGCTCTTCGCCAGACTCGTTTGCACTGGCCAGGATAGCCTCAATGACCGCCCCGGCGTCCTTCTCGAAACTCGGGAAAATTTGCTGTACGAGTATCGATAGCGGATTGACTCCCATGATTTCCATGTTGTTCTTGTATCGTTTTCTTATGCGTTCGCAGAGCTTTGTCACGGACTTGCCCAGCTTCACTACGTGGACAAAATCCCAGTCCTCCTTGTGGGCTGGGATTTCCTTTTGCATGTAATCTCGGTAGACATCAGCCGCCCTCTGGCATAGTCCCTGAGTGAGATGGTCCGAGAACTCCTCCGCAGCGCTGGGCCGGGGAGAGAATGTCGGGTCGCTCCCAATATGGTTTTCGAGGAGAAACATGACGGCTGCAATATTTGGCGGTTTGGAATCATAGCACTGCTCCATGAGATCATACAGCTCCCTCAATAAAGCGTCGTGCAGAGTATGGAAGGTCTGCTGGTAAACTGCAAAGTCATGCACCGTCCATCTGCTGGACTCAATCTCATTGAGCGGCGTCGCATGATGGGTAATGTGAGGTGCCTTTTTCACTTCCGGCAAGGGTGATTTGACAAAGTCGAAAATGGTGTCCAACTCCTCGGGAACAATTTCCTGATCCAAGAACTTCCGAGCCGCAACTTCGAGTAGCGCAATCAATCTTGAGAACTGAGGAACTCGCCACCGCACGCAAAGCTCCGTCAAAAACTCCATGGACTGCTTTGACAGGGGTTGATATTCCAACGCTGGGTCTGCATGTAGCTGATCATAAGTAACTGCGTGCTGCAGAATGTACTGGTAGAACTCCCTCGGCTCTGGTGGAATGAAGGTGTAGATGGTCTCCTCGACAGCTCGTATGCTGCTCGGCTCGTTGCCGATACTGAGATTTGCGAGACTAGCAGCAAATTCAAACGAGAAGGATCCGTCTTCTTGTGAAGGCGAGGATATGGCGCGACCGAGGTCGGCATATGCCTGGTCGGTGGCATACGTGGATTGCGGCCTGCTGGGTAATGGTTTCTCGAATGTGCCCGTTGGGGTTTTTGCCAACTCCGGTTTGGCTGTCAAAATATCGAGCATCATGTGAGACAAGTGCGGCGCCTCAGATTTCTTCCATTCCTGAAAGGCATCTTCCACATCAAAGTCATGACTCCTCAACGCACCAGGCATGTCGGAGTTGAGCCTGTGTTGATAGGACTTGAGATCCCTTAGGGCAGCTTCCTCGGTCCACACCTGCCGGTTGTCGTTGATTTCGGACTGAATATCAGACAAGCTCATACCGAATATACCTGCTACAACCTGGACCATCGGCATATCCTTGACATCATAACTCAGAGGCACAAAAACCTCAATGGTTGTGCCTTTTCCGTCCTGGCCGTTGTCGACCAAATTCTGGTCATTTGTCAGGAGTTTGTTTTCCAAAGAACTGAGTCTTGATATCAGCTCTGCGCGGTCTTTTTCATGGCCATGGTCGCGCAAAAGCTTTGTCGTAAGCCTGACAAACATGGCGAGATGGCGATCCGGGAGTAGCTTCCATGAATCGTCGTCGGGAGCTCTGCCCTTTTGAGCTGCCTTGGTGGCAGATGAGTAAAATATGAGGACCAGCGGCTCGAATTTCCTTTCCTTGAATGTTTTCTGAAAGTTCTTATCGGAAAACGCCGTGTACGCTTCGGCAAAACTCCTCTTGACGGCAGCGTCATTGAAACCGGGGAGGGTCTCGCTTCCCTTCAGAACACCGCCAACACGGTCGAGAAGCTGAGTGGCAAAGTTGCTCGGCAATTTTAAGCTTGTAGAGCTCCCTGAAATATACTCTTGAACAAGCTGGCCGACACTCGTGTGCGATCGAGCTGGCTGTTTCGGCGCGGGGACATATTGCTTGCGTTTCGCTCGTGGTTGCAAGAGATAGTGCAGGTAGGCGGTGCGTAGGGCAAAGCTTCGTGCTTCCTCGTGCTCGACAACGATATGCTGGTGACGAGCAGCCCGTGAAGCCGCCCTGCTCTTGGAAATATCCTTGCTACTGCTTTTGACGCGGCGACTCGGCGTCAGAGATTTCCGAGAGGCTGTCGACATGATGACGATTGTGTTCGGCCGTGGCGACGTTGTTCGGTGGATTCGGCAGATTGGTCAGAAGGCGACTTGAAGCCCAATGCTAGACGGAGTGCACGAGCTCATGGCCAGTCAAAATACGGGGAGGAGCACAGGAATCCAGACAGAAAAGATGAGTGGAGTGCGAGCAAC